ATGTAATTGCTTTAGCATTGAGCTATCTAGCCATTTTATCATAATAATAACTATCTTTAAGGAAATAACAATTTTGTTTTGTAAACTGCGAGTAGTAGTTTATGGCACAATGTATATTGAATATATATCCATATACATATATAGATCTGAGTTAAAATATATCTATTTCTTACTTTTCTTTTCTTAGTCGAGTGTTGTTGCAGTATTGCTAATAAGCCAATTACATGCAAATATTCACAAGCGACATATTTTTAATAATAGTTTTTTCTGTTTTCTTGTAGAACTTATGATGAAGATATTTGACGGTTTGCGTAATAGATCTACAAGCTTTGAAAGTGAGTTTACACTTTATATATCACTTGTAAGTCTCTTTGAAGATATATATTCGTTAAATCTATTCTCTTTGGTTTATCTTGTTTCAGACTTTGACGAAGCAAAAATGCAACAACTAGCATCTGATGATGTAAGTATGTAATAAGAAATATGATTTATTATAGATTAGAATGAGCTGAAAATAGCTTGAAATAACTGAGCGGAAGTTAAATTATGTAATGTGTTTACAGCAAGTGATCAATGACGAGTTAAATCGCACGTATTATCAACTAGCAGATAGCATGGCATTGCGCGAATCCCAAATCAATGTATTGGCACGTGATCTCAAAAATCCAGTTCTCCGTGCCCAGAGAGAGAACTTGTCACAATTACAGGTACATAAATTGATAACACAAGAAATATCGCGTAGTATGTTAAGATTATTATTTTTTTATTATTTTCCAGGCTGAGCATAACAGGCAAAAACAAATGCTTAAAACTTTACAACAGGATCACCGTAAAATGCAAGTGAACGCCAAGCACAAACTTGGAATCTGAGAAATGGAGTAGTCTCCCAATTATTTCGCGAGAGCCATTTCCAAGAACGAATTTAATATAATACACTCTGGAATTGTTCTAATTAATAAGAAATAAGCTTTAAAAATTATCCTTTCTTCAAAAGATAGAACAAAGTTGTCAGCAGTCGCGCACGCGCAATTTGCATAATATTTCTCGATTTGATGTCACGTTTTGAAATTCTCTTATTTCCGAATTATTGATATCATCATTTACGGTGAAGATCTGGATAATCATTCTCAATGCAGTAATGAACAGAGATTTGCATCGGCGCAGGCACCATGTATAAGACTGTTCAGCTCATGAAATTTAAGTTGACCATAAGTGATTTATCTGTTACTAAAGCAGTTCTCTTCGAACCGCGTTTTTCCTCGATCAATGGAAAAGAAACGAATGGAAAGACATTGGAAAAGGAACTTGCACGACATGATCAAGCAATTGTCGCATATAAATGATTCTTTGTTTTTTCTCGTCGTTTTCTTAACTCTGTGTGATTAAAGACTTTATTGCGCGCTGCCACGTGAAACGTCACGCGCTTCGCTCACTAACTGATCATGCAGATCGTACAAAATCGCATTGCTATACTGTTATTTAAAACGTTGATACATTATAAATAACAGTCGCTACTCAGGCAGATTTCCTGCGGCGATCGAGTGTTACGCAGTTGGCAATTTTCAAATTTTACGGTGTAGTGAACTTGTATATATGATACATTCGATTTTAACGCAGCACGGCCGCATGCGGCACTTTCCTCGTGTTAATTAATTCGCTCGCTGTGAATTCGGTCGAGCTTAAATGCTACCTCTGCGATTACGTATTTATATCGGATGGATACAAAACCAGTCTCTCGTTTATTTCTTTATTTTATTTGTTGTAATTATGGACCTATGATGTTAAAAATTAATAATACTCAAAGTGCTGTTTACCGTTTTATAATTATGAAAAAAATGTCATTAGAAATACGAAGAGACAATTTGGTAATTTAACGAATGGTGTTTTAACTTATCATATAAATTTTATTGCGTATTTATATGGAAAAACAAAATACTAAATTTAGGGATATGTCTATAGGGTTGCCATGCTATAGATCGGATTGTTCTACTTTTTGTAGAACGATTTTACAATTATATGTACCTGAATTTCATTTATATTTAAATATTCTGTAATGTTTGAAAATTGGAAATCCAGTTACGTTTTGTTAAAAGTGATGACAAATATAACATTTTAGTCATTAAATCTCATCTTTTACTTAGTTATCCCTTCCTTCCATCATTACGATTATGTCTCCATGCATGATTTTACTTCTAAAATGTTCTATTTTTAAAATGTCTAAAATGTGGTAACCCTAAATATATCTTTAAATTATATTTTTTATAAGTTTTTTATAAGTAAAACCTCTAAAAATATATTTTTATTATACAACAAAAGAAAATTAAACAGTGACCATATAAGTGTAAATAATACATTAAACAGATTTGTATTATTTAAATAAATTTCTTACAAAAAACAAGTTAATTTGCATAAATAAGGTTTTATTATATACGCGAAGTTTTTTTAATATGTTTCTTTTAATTTGAATGACTTTTTATATTCCACTGGCCTTACTATCCATCCAATATCATGTTATTACGCAAATATACATATTAATAAACGATATTTTTACTTTATCGTTAGTTGACCTCGGCATTAATGAATATCGAGTAATTACTCGATTGCATGGAAGTTTATATGATTGGCATAATGTGTCGATTATTGACATAAAATATGCATTAGTCAACCTAGTTTCCAGTAATTACTCGATATAACGCGAATCAGCGTGAATATAAATGTAAAAGTGTTTAAACTATAAAAGATATTAATATAAGAGAGAGATGGAAATTGTACATTTATCAACACTTTCAGCACTGACACTTAACAGATTTACAAATTCATTTGGACCCCATATGTACAGATAACATAAAGGCTGATTCTGTACATAAAAATGTTAAACGTGATCTCAGATTGACAGCATTTTCTAAGTGTTTATTTTTCTGAACAAGATTTACTCATCGAACTTCTAGAATGTACATCTGTTATTTGCAATCATGTGCTGATTTTTATGTATTAAGTTGATAAAAACATTCATCTTTTCCTACTGTTGCATTAAAAAACGAACGATTATTAAAATTTTTTTATTAACTTAATACATGTAAATTTCTCATGCTCTTGCGTTCTGTTATCATTCTGTTATCATTCTATTTTAATATATTATGTAACTTTTTCATGCTCCTATGTGTATACGTTCTATTATATTCGCACATCTATCTATGAAATTTGAAATTTCATTGTAACTTGTAAAAATACAATGGTAACAGCATATATACACACATATGTATGTATACATGTATGCATACATACAAGTGTTATGCATGTATTTAATATATGTATATATATATATATATATATATATATTATATATATATATATATATAAAACACACACACCCATGTATATATATATACATTGTATTCATTGTAAAAAAAATGTCGTTAACTTGTTTTTAATGTTACATCGATGTCGAGTGAGGAGGTCAAGATTGTCGGTTAGCAAAGGCCTCTATGGTTGCGATCGTTATGTAAGAATACAATGCTGAAATTGTGAAATTTAGAGTAGTCTATTGTTCTTGTCAGTTTTATCAGTGGAAAGGCTTGATTATCCTCACAATTCTCGTCATCAATTTTTTATGCGGAAGTCCACCGCTGAAAAAAAGGAATATCTAATCGACCTGTATGTATAAAATTCACATTCGCATAATTGGTGATCGCGTATAAAGTGGACATCAAATCGGCTCAATATCGTCCTTGATATCGCCCAATTTTTCTCGCGATCTTATAGTACAAAGAACAAGTTTAAACTGTCTGTGTTCAGTGTACCTCATCCTCTTTCTCTCAAATTAACTTCATATTCTCTTCATATTACCGGTTACTGGATGGACCATATTATCAGTTACTGGTAATAACTTGTATTAATATATCATATAACTTTGAATATGTCAGTTTGATTGTCAACATACATGATGGGTCATGCAAAACATAAAATTTTTTAAATATCCTATTTTTGTTGTGCATAACACACGAAAAAATAGGAGTAAAATCAATCGATTTAGAAAATGACAAAAAATTTTTTTAAGATCAAAAGATATTTTTTTGTTATATTGTTACTTGTTCGTTAGTAACAATTTTATGAAATTTACGAGAGCGATATGATTCACAAAAATTTGCAAAAGAAAAGAATAATTGAAAAATTCAAATATCGCATGAATTTTTATAATATGCGCAATACTCTTTGTATTATCGACTATAAGTTACGTAAAGGTAACCAAGTATTCATTTACAGCATACTGTGTCATATTGTAGTCATTTAAGAATTCATTCATTTATTGGTACGAAATAAAGTGGAGGCACCTAAAATCTTTCTGAACATACGGAATTGTAAGCAGAAAATAAATCACTCGTCTGTGATTACGGTTGCATACATTAGAAGATATTGTTATAACAAGAAATAATAAAACAAAGAGATTCTCCAAACTTTATTTTAAGGTAATTAAGATATATAAAATTCTGGATGGCTGCTTGATATTTATTGGAAAGAAGTGGATATCAATGCAACACAGGCACAGACGGCTCTACAGTTCATATACGCTAAGATCAAGTTTATACTGCTGTAAATATATATATTGCGTTATTATATTTTATACTCTGCTGATTGCACATAAGTGGCTTTTCAATTTCTTTCTATAAGAAGTAAAAGCAAAAAGGCGATTAAGTATGATTGTGTACCTTCCTCTTATACACTTTAATGAATATATATGTACGCATATTAAGTGCAGAAAGTGTGGGGCACGCGTCGGTGCTATTTGGATTTTCGTAGGATCAAATTATATAGCCTGATTGTTATTATTGCTTTTTAACAACACAAGAATTTTTAAAGTTTTTACTTGGGATAAGAGATATCCCCCTCATAATATTTTTAACAGTGTTATACATTACAACATCGAGAGTTACATGCGTTTTTCTACCTCCTTAATTTGTGTTAATTTGCAATAAAGTTTGGTTGCAGCAAAGCTATCAGAGCAAGATATATATATGTAGGAATTAAACTGTTCGTTCATCCAATTATAAAAATGAGTTTAATATTAGTTTAATATTCTGAATGCTCAAATAATAGCCGTATTTGCACTAGACATACTGATGCGAGGACTAACTATAAATTTTCACAATGACGTGATGCTTCGTTAAACATAACGCGAAACAATAAAAGAATTGCGTTTTTCATAAAATAAACTGAAATATCAAAAATACAATTTATACTTACCTCTTCTGCAAATTGCTCACACATTATTAGTCGACATTTTCCATTAGCTTTATTATTTTGAATGATCCATATGAGTACGTGAACTATTTTAAACGAGCCGGCCGATAATTGTACGAGCGAAAATATTTGTAAAAAGATTTTCTAATGTATAATCTCGATGTTTTTCGCTATCTGTTAAGCACTATGTAAATTCTGACAGAGTTATTAAGGAACATATAATCGAATGTAATTCACGTTTCGTGCCACTACGGTAGAAAATCCACCACCAAATTATTTTTATAGTTTTACTATCCCCTTCACGTAGATTTCATTTTACATGTCTTTGATACACTTGAATATTTTTGCAATACACGTATATGTATATTAATAATCTCAATTAATACGTCTCACGCTGAATTCATCATGGCTGTACATGTTGAATTTAATATTTTCTTATTTTATGTCGTAGTATATATTGCCAAGAGGCATACAGATCCAAAATATTTTAACATATTTAGAATTTTTTTACAGAGAGAGAATGTGTGTGAATTGTGTTAAAATAAAGACTTGTTAATGTTCGATTAATTATCGCGTTGATGCTTGCGGCATCACAAATAATGTATACAGATTACAAATAGCTATTTTTCTTCATTTTTTTTTGCTAGTTTATATTGGAGGTGGATAATTCTTGCCAAGAAAATATAAAGGAAATCAGCATGGAGATATATGTACATTGTGAACGAGTTCAAAGATATCGCGCAGATTTATAAAAAGGTTTATGATCGAATCGCTCAGAATGGTGCGGATATTTATTCGGCTGGCAAAACTTATTGTTCGTGATGATGAAAACTTGTTGAAAAAGGGTTGTAAAAAAAGTACACTTTCTTTTAATTGGATGGATTTTTGCTTTTGATAAGCGAAGGAAATTAATAACTCGACGTATAGTTTACAAGAATTCGGCTAACTATTACTCAATATTGATATATGAAGATATGTATGCATACATAAGAAAAAAGAATATGTAATTGTAACCAATAAAGAAATATAATGATGGGGGAGGATCATGTACATGTACAGTTATTGTCAAGACTGAATTATTAAGACTTCAAAAAGATGGAACATTTTTGTAAATAATGCTGCTTCTGGAAAAAATATATGTAGAAATTATATGAATATTATGGAAATATTGATTATCGTTTGATTTATATTTTTTTGACCCTTCTTGTCAGCACTTACAAATCTATAAAAGAAGGACATGCATTCTAAAGTACTATGAAATTTCTTTTTTATTACCAAGGGATACGATAACGATTTCTGCTAAGATCGATATAGTGACAACTTTTTACATTTAAACATATTTTTAATTTGATAATATTTTTTGTATTATCACAAACATTTTTTTGGATAAAGTCCATTTGAAAATATCTTGTTATACACATTCTCAAGAATTTTTTGTAGAATTATCTCGGAATGTCATATTTCTTTTAAGAAATTTAAATTCACAATCCTGTTACAGTACGAAAATCATTACATTTTATTGTATGTAATAATTTTGATATCAAAGCATGATAATGAAAAAATTATAAAATGTGCATATATTTTATTTAAATGATTGCAGTTTTGTGATATCAACAATTCTTTAGGAAAAGTAAATTTCAAACAATTAATATTAATATTATTTTTAATATTCTTTTAAGATATCATGGGACGCGTGCTCTTGGCATCATTTTTTTACTTTTTGATCGAATATTAAATTAACAGATTTGAAAAATAATTACAATATTGATTGTTTTACAAACATAAAGACTTCGTTATATCGGATACAATTACATATATTAATTGTCAATATCTTTGGATATAGATTTTTATTGAGATAAGAAGATTAGAAAATTAATCAATTGATATTTCTAATATATTTTTGCTAATTGGGCGAAGAGCTAATATAAATTCATTGCAAGCTCGCTTGTTTCCATCGCGCACGATATGGATATTTCATTTTATTCGGTTATCTTAAAAAGATTCAAGATGACTGTGCCGTTAAATAAAAACTTTACTAATTGCATGAAAAAAGAAAAATAATTGAAAAGGCACGACGTTTCGAGGCGATTCAAATCGAAGGCACGTTTTGTGTACCGCGGATATAAATGATAGTTCCCTAAAATAGAAAGAAATCACTGTAAATTTGTCTCTCAATTTTTATTCAATATATCGTATAATCGAGGCGTGTGAGAGTTGTACTTATCTAACATGCACCAAATCCCAAGTAAAACAACGTACAGAGCTCGTATTGTCAAGATGTTTGTAAATTGACAAGTTTTCTCCCGCGCAATTGGGAGGTTTCGGCTACGAAATCGCAAGATTTTCATCGCGAAACGGTTTTAATTGTGATTTTAATCGTCTAACCGAAACACCATATTTTTTAAATACGGTATTGAATCTAATCGAAACAACTAATATTTACAAATAAAAATAATTTTTCAAGATTTCATTTCTCTCTCTCTCTCTCTCTCTCTCTCTCTCTCTCTCTCTTCTCAGAGTTTCGTTAAAATGGTCGGCTAAAAACGATTATTCGTCGATCGAGTCAATTCAATGACGAGCTACGTCTCGATGTTAGAAGTTCAAGACTAATAGACGCTGATGATGGATAATTTGTGCGACTGGGACATTATACGCGTTTTTTAGCGCGTACAGAGTCCTGATAAAGGCAGTGTGAAACAGCGAACTGAATAAATACGAGTATCGGTAGCGGTGGATATCGATTGATAATGATAATGCTCGGTTGCAGGCTGGTGTCGCTTTTCATCCCTCGTACTCTTCCATCGTCTCGCATTTCCGGCAAGTTGTACGTACTTGCAATTTGGTTCATACTATATAAGTTACCGGATACGTTGCGATGCAGCGCAATAATAATATTTCGAATGCAGAGGCCCATGTGCGTTTCGATATAACGTCGTTTTTTTCATTCCCTTTTTTTTCCTCTTTTTTTCTTAATGAGGTTGGAGATTCGCGAGTATACAAACTTTGGGGGAGGGGGGGGACTTATCGTTATACAGTGAAACTTATGTTCGGTGAGTCTCTGCCGCAAAGAAAGATAGAAAAATATACGAGTTTCTAAGTAACGACGGTGCAATCGCACGCGGATCGCCGTTCTCTAACAATAAGAACAATATAGTTGGAGATCGTTCTAGATGACTATTCGTTGCTACGATGAAGAATGCCATCAGCAAGAAGCACATCCGATACGCGCCGAAAGTTAAGCGTCGCTTCTTTCACAAAATCGCTCAATCTGCTATGATTTTTCGCTAAACTCCGAATGATCCAACACACTCTCGCTCCCTATTGTCGTTTCCCTTTTCCTATGCGTCACTAAGCGGATTAACTTGGTCGTAGGATTGAGGTTTTAGGAATTAATTTACTATCGATTACCAAATCTGCTTATTAGAAGATCTTTAACATAGTTTGCTTCGGGCATGACGCGATTATCGTGTTCTCTTCCGATCTCAAACAGGAACAAAGTCTAGTTAAGAAGGCATAATATCTTACGATAATATGATGAGTTATGATATTTAACCGTCTAATTGCCAAAAATTGTTGTGTCAGATTTAAAATTAATCAATTTCTAAATCAATTTCTAAATTGTTTGCTTGATTGAAATTGTTTTGATGAGATTTAGATTTTTTTAAAAGATCTGTATTAAATATTAATGTATTATATTGTTACATTATTTTTAAAAATCAATTTTATTGTTTAATTGTCTTAAAAATTATTAAGATTTTAATAAATATATGAAGAAAAATAACATCACACATTTCATTGAAGTTTACATTAAAAGTCATGTATTCCTAATTGATAAAATTGGCAGTTAAACGATTATATAAAATAACTTGCAGAAGTTGCTCTGTTTTCAATTGTGAAAAAATATAATTTTAGCAACAGAACTTCGCAATTGAAAATAGACCAATTCTCATTAATTATTAAAGCGTTAGCATTTCTCTTCGTCACTTAGCCAACTTTTATGTTCATATTGTTCTGCTATTATTTTATTAACAGAAATTAAGAAAAAGTGAGTATATCTCAATTATAAAACATCATTAATTTCAACCGATACACGATGAGAGAAAATAAAATTAATTTTTATTTTAGCCAGTATTTACTAAAAATTATTTTTTCCGCCATTCTCTCAATTACGTAATATATAAATATCGGATCACATGCATAAATCTGAAAAGAATCAATAATAAATAAAAAAATAAAAGAAGAATTAATTATCAATGGAGGCTCGAACCTGTCGTGACACTTCCCAATACGCTTCGTACACATAGATATACATATATCAATATATGTATAAATTGGGTGTTTGATTCGCGTTTATTATTTCATATCTACACTAACGGGCAATATATACAGGGGATAAGGGGGAAGTGATATTTATCATCTTTTCCGCAACCATAATGAAAATCAGACTGAGAGCAATTTATTCAATGTAGATGTCCTCTATGGGGAAAGCAGTCTCGATGAATTTCGTGTAGAACCGATGAAAAGCACGTCTGAAAGAAGAGAGTCTCGAGTTATTGTCCATCTACGAACAATAAAAATTATTTATTCTCCTCGAGATTTTTTCAGAAATTTAGAAGAAAAATTTGAAAAAATTTAAATTATATCTTATTATCAAAATTCAAATTATAATATAATATTTAAATATATTCTAATAATATGATAACGCAATAAAGCATTACTCTGATAATAAAAAGTCACCTCTAAAATAACCGAAAATTTATACATTAAAGGTTCTTCGCAAAGTGGTTATTACACAGATCAAGTTTGTTATAATAATAATGAAAAAATTAGTTTTCTGAAGAATTAGCTTACCCGACAGCTTCGGCAACGGGTCTTGTGGATTCCTGACCAATGAACACGTGACAAGCAAACCTCTGCAAAGTTGGGTGCTTCGTGATGAAGCCGAGGTAGCGATGATCGCGAGGGTGAAACGCACAGAACGATACATTCTTCAGCGAGTAGAAATAATCATGACAAGGACCCTGACTTTTCTACAAAAACACGTAAATTAAACGGATGTGAATTAAAAACTTTTGGACTGCTTGCACTTTTTCTTTTTTTTTTAAATAAATATTAAATTCAAATTAATTATATGTCCAATTAATCGTTAAATACATCTTGCATATAAGATAACAATGACTCTAAAAATAATATAATTTTTTCTAACTTGTTTGGTCGTGTGTGATTTTTGGTTGTGTGTGAAATGTTTTTAAACCAAGTCTATCATTGTTGAGAATTAAAATAAATAGCTTGTATATTGCGTGTATGAAAATGAATTTCAATCGATTGCAAAGAAACACTTACTCGCGGTTTACTTCTATCGACCATTCGAAGACCCTGATCGGATACTTCCAAGATGCAACTCTGTGAGACGGGCGGATCCTGCGAAGAGTTGCGAAGAATCCTCCGCACTGCCTGGCAAACTACCCCCGTACCCTTGTGCGCCAAGGTTTCTACCGAGCCCAGGTAACCTAGAAGGTATCTCTCTCTTTTCACCTTGGGCGCAGTAGGATCGAAGTCACTGTAGTCCATGTCAACCGCGTAAGCAGATGGAAAAATACCTTGTCGACCTGTCCTCAGATTCACACCTACAACGAAAAATAAATTCTGTAGATGTTAAACTTAACGAATGATTAATTTCAATTCCCTTTTATTTTTCTTTTCTTTTTAATTATTGTCAAAAAATCAGCAAACAAAATACAAATCTAGAATATATGTAAAAAATATTCGAAAACCGTCTAAAAGATGTTTTTATATTTTCTAGACATTTTGTACTTAAATTATCTTTCTTGTAAATTATATAATTAAAATATGTAATTAAATCATTGTATACACATA